CATAAACCATAACTTCGTGCATCATAGAGAAATTAGTGCACAATAGCAATGCTTTTATTATTATTATTATTATTATTATTATTACTATATTACTGCTGTTACAATTGCCAATGATCTCTCGCTTCATTTGAGAATACGCCTTGTAACTAATATCAATTACGTCTACTCGTATAAAAGCCACTTTAATAATAATAATATTTGTTTTTCTTTGATACAACTTTAATTTATTTTGTTGTTGTGATATTCAATTTGATAAAAAAAGAACGTTTGTCATTATTTCGAATGAAGGTTTAAATAAAATAAAATAAGAAAATATTTCACATCATAGATATTAATATAAATGTATTACTTCATACTGAACCTCAGTTTTTCACTACAGTCACTATAAATGTTAAAATATATACCAATAACGTAAGACATATTTAACGAGAAACAACTTCCGGAAATATGTAGCCTGTAAATACTTGCCATTGATGTTGACCTTGTTATTTTCAGCTTAAACTGCTTGTTGAAGCTGATCAGTTCAACATCATGACAATGTTCCTGCACAGCCTACTTTAGATGCTTTCCTTGATCCAGAAAGTTATCCTAATAGACATGCCCGTTAATTTCTGAATCCGTTAAAGTAAATGTTATCTCTCAAATGTTTTTGTTTTCTTGATTATCTTTGAACTGTCTTGTCTGGAAGATACCATTAACAGAATCCTTTAACTTTGTCTGAGATATAGCAATACTTGTTATATATATAGCTACTGTAAGGAAATGATTTAAAGGGCATTTTATTTATTAATTAGCGAAGTGCATTAAGTTTACAGCATAAGATAAGATATAATAAGTCTGACTAACATCAGATGAATAGAACCAATGCACTGAATAAGTACATGAAGTATGTTAGTTTTGTTTAGTCGGATGAAGAAATATGACGTTATAAAATCTGATCATAGTTTAAGATACTGAGGTCTATTTTCGTAGGGAGTGTAGTTTCTGAACTATTTTTGTCGATGATATTTCATTTCGATTCATGATTTACAACATCATAGTGCTAGCACGGTTGCATTATTGAGTAAAACCGTTCTAGATAGATGGGTTATTTATTTGAGTAGAATAATGTACGGTGACAACTCAGAGGTTGGTTATACAGACGAAAGTAGACAATATTCATTGCATGTTCAGGTGTTAAATACAGATCTGATTTTAGAACACTTCAGGAAAGCGTAAACTACGCTATGACAGAAACACACTTGAGGGAAATGTGACGACCACTGTAATTTCCATATGGAACTTCCCTTCCCTTTGTATGTCGATAAATTACCAATGTTGCTTTAGTTATTGACACGATTATATCTGGATAATGTCAAGTCCTAAAGATAATAATAATAGGACTTATCATCATAATCTGCGAGCTGGTGTAGACAAATTATTTAGACCATCTTAATGTGGGTTTTGAGATTACTTGTAAAAAACGGAGCGCCCACAAATATCGGACATGGAAATAGACACCAGGACAGCAATCACAGAACAAGCATTCAATATCTATACTAACAAAAACATCTAGGACTGAGAGTCATTACTAGGAAATAATTATGCAGCAGCTGATGAAGAACTTTAAATAACACATTTACTACATCAAGCTTGCTGATTCTACGATTAGTCTAAGTTTTGAACACTTCATTTCGCTTTGGTGGGAAACACCTAAGCACCTAGTCCATATCTTATTAGGGATGCTGACACACCTGACCATGTTCAGAGAATGTGAAATAAAAGAGAGGAAGACTTATTCAATCTCTTAAACAAGGAAATAGAACTCAAACCGTTTCACTTTTTATCTTACCTTAGAATGCGATGAAATCTTTATTTAGGATTCGGCAACTAAATTGATGTCTTCAGTGTTTTCTTACTTTTTTCCTATGCTCTTTTTAAGATCAGTCACTTTAAAAGCTATAGCATGGAAGTTTAAAAGCCTCAATTTGACAAACTCGGTGTAGAATTCCGTTCTAGCAATCGACTGGTCAATTAGTGAGAATCTCTACACGGACAAGTGGTATCTGCGACTCTGGAAATAATCTTAAATGTCAACTTAATTAATGAAAACTGAAATTAGTCAAATTCTTATGAAGAGTGACCAGATCAGAATAAGCAGATTTATGTGATTAGGAAGTTTTGAAGTCATTCGCTTTTAAGCTCTGTTCCAGAAACCTTATTTTATGAAACCTAATGATAATAATAATAATAATTACAAACATCTTATGAATACATAACTGTTGGGTTGAGCGTGTTTATAGAGTCTGACGTGAGTTCGTTGATCTTCCAACAATAACCAGAAACACCCAATTTTCCACAGCCGTGTTTGAATGTTTAAACATTCCTATGGATACAGACTGCGTCTTTACCCTCTTCATAGACAAATATGCAATCCATTGAGGAAGTAGATAAATCTCTAAAATCCCTAGCTCCGTAAGTCTTTGACGTTTGATGCTGACTGCATAGGTCTTAATGGACTCACTAAGCTGAAGGCGCTCGGTTATGCATTCGCAGCAGATCACAAGTGAGTACGCCGTGCTTCACTACTTTTACAATCGCTAGTCATCTTAGATTGATAGCTTGTCACTTTATCGATAGCCAATCAAATACATCTTCGTGCTTCTTCTCTTCTGATTTCTCTGAGTTGGTACGTTTTGGTTATCAATGGTGTTACTGGTTAAGGTTTTGTGGAACTCCGAATATTTGTTTCATCTTTAAAGTAGTCATACTAATGTTAACTTACTGCGAGGTATGTCAAGCTGTCTTGATCAACTGCTCTCCACTTTATTTTTTGAATCAAAACTTACATGCATCCATTTTCTCACAAAAACAAGACGTTTGGATAAGTTACTGGATCCACGTGAAGTTGCTTTGATGGAACGGTCAAAATGAACGTTGCGAATTTACGTGATTCTCAGAACTTATCCTTCTATAGCACATGTTATTTTTCTTTTTCAAAATGTTGACCTCGAGTACTCCCTTCTTTGATTGTTTCACATTCTACTCTTTAGTCTATTAAGGAGCATACACAGGAATAGCGCTGCAACCAGTACCTACAATATGACCAGAAGAACGATTAGAATAGTCAGAGATCGAAATTCGGTGTTTAATAATAACTGCGAGATCTCTTCTCTAGCAACAGAACGGTGTTAAAAGACCTACTAACGGAACTGATAAATTTTAAGTTTTTGCTCAATTGTAAACTATCGGATTAATCATTACCAGTGTATCTAGATCGTTTAACACAGCTTCAAACCAACACGGGACTGTGGGGCCTCAAGCTGGGTTCAAACAGAAATGAACTCGCCAGACGGTAAAACCTAGGGATCTGCTAAGAAAGAGGAGAAGTGGGCAAGTGTTGAGAAGGGTATTTGAAAATTATAGCCTCTAGAATGTTGAAATACTTTGTTTTATTTAGTGTCTCAGTTTTGAAGAGTAAATTAATAGAATTAGGGCAGCTGTTGATGAAGTACAATAGGGCAAATGTGGCACAGTCCACTTGTATTGGGGTCAGAACATAGTAAGAAGTAAATTCCCTCATTCAGGCATAACATTTGATTCAGCTCACGTTACAAAGTACATTTTACTAGCATCTTCTAGACCTTCGATTGAGGATTACTCCCAAAATCTAGTTATATACAACAAACTGTGATCCGTAACAAATGCCGTGTAAATGTCACCAAACACCCATGAACCAACAAACATGGTGGTTAACAGAGCGCCCGAGCTAGTAGACAATGCTCACAAACACAACATACAATAGTGGCTTTGGCCACCACGTACGGTAAAATACATGTCAAGGCAACCTCGTCAGCTAAACCTCACGATCATTAGATCTCCGCGTCTGAAGGCTCTTAAATTCAGAAATCGAGGGGAACTGACGGAGGTCATCCAGGCCAAGTACGTCTTGAAAATCTGTCTGTTCAGTCACAAATGTCGTGAGGGCGGACCTTGATTGATATGGCGACAGCACAGTAGCCCAGTTAAACACACCCTCGGTAGCGATCAGCAACGCATGGTGAAGAACACGCACATTCTTTCTGATTAGACAAGCTAAACTGCAGTATGCACTCACGAATAGATTACCGTCTCCCTCTTTAACAAACTGCGCCTGATTCATGTCACATTTTTTACCACGATTGCCATTCCTGCATATCAGTTGCTACATCCTACGTCTCCTATTATCATTATTGTTTCCGTTCTTGTACTTTCAATTCCATCCTCTTTCTTGTTACCAATTAAATAAATTAACGACTACACTAATATTCATGGTATTACAACGACTTTGTCTGCAAAACCTTATTATTTTAAAGACAACAACCCAGTCGAACGAGAAGTCAGAAGTGGATGAGTTTGAAGGTATGTTCGTATGCTTATCGAGGTTTTGAGAATCGTTTAGTTGAACATGGGTAGTAGTTGTATGAGATACATAGCACGGCGTACTGACTCATGATTTGATGCGGATGTGCGACCGAGACCATTCAACTAGGATGTATTCAGTACAACTAAAAAGGTCAGCACCACTGTCAAAAACTTGCAAAACTATTTATTTTGTGGGTATATTTACCATCTCTAATTTACTATTCATAAATCAGTCTTCTCCTAGCACTCGAATTACCACCTTACTATTTTCACATGAAACCCATCAATCTGCTGTCTGATAACGTCATAGCTTCTGGTGCCTTGAAACCTCACTGTCCTGAGAAAAACGCATTCAGTAAAATTACAAGATATACAAATCCAGATAAACCCGCCAAATTGAGTAAAATTAATGCAGTTGAGTGACTGCATTGCGATCGATTGGACATTACTAATTACTTGGAGTCGCAGCCAGAGAATAAGCAATGACCATAAACAAATCAACAGGTTTGTGCAAGCTCGTAGCACAATCATTGGATGTTGAATGCGTCTTTTTGTTAAAATTCACTACCAAGAGTCAAAAGTGACTGACACTATTACAAATGTTCTCAGCTAAGGTAATGTTTGTTGGCTGTATTCGTGTTGTGACTGAAATGTACGTTTGGTAGAAATGTTTAAAATTTTTATAGCATGCGAT